AAAAAGTCAGTGTCCTACCGCTCTGCGAAGGCGCTACGAAGCTGCCTGGAATATTCTTTTTTCTTCATTAATACATATAAATTTTAAATCTGTGCATGAGCAAACATGCCTGAGCACTACAGAAATGAGACAGCCCAAACAGAACCCTTAAATATTCTTATATAGCATATGCAGATCATTGTAGTTCCGTTAGGTAAAACTAATCCACAAGGCATTGATATACAAGGTACAACAGGCTTAAAATATGGTTGACTTTACTTCTGCTGTACGAAGTTTTAACCTGGGCCTCAGCATATTTCCACGAACAGACAACGCATCCTCTCTATATCACAATCGTCATCCAAAGTTACAGACATGAACAAGGTATTTAAATTGGGTAACAAGCCTCAAGGGGATTCCATTCAATTGGTTTCATTTCTCTTAATATTACCTTTGAAGATCACAAATTCACTTTTATTCACATTATACCTCAAACCATGTTCTACACGTGTCTCACGCGGCCGTAAAAGCTTTCTCAGACTACCCAGCGTTGGGTTCAATATGAAAATTTCTGACCACGAAAACGATATAAATAATACAATAAAGATACTAAAACTGGCTTAAATTTCATATATTGGCAATAAATATAGACAAGATATATTTTATGAATTTTATTAATATAATTTCTAATATTTATTTGATTAAATACTAAAAAATCACGCTTGAAGAAGCTGATAACGTTCGATTCTTAAGCATAACTATTGACAAGACAAACTAGATTGAAAACAACATGCAGAAATCGTTTATAATAAGATAAATAACTTCTCATTTGCATTATTTAAATTATCGAGAGTAGCGACAAGAAGTTCGACACACTTCGTGGAGTCAATTTTACGTTATGCAATTATTATTAAGGGTTACGGTATAGATGCGCAAAGGGTATTTACTGCCCAGAATAAAATGCATAAGAACCCTATGTGGCATCGCTTCCTATGACTCATGCAAGCAATGGTTTAAATTTCTCGACATTCTACTTCTTCCCTGCTTATATATTTGAAGTAGTGAAATTTACTAAACGATACCCTGATTATTACAAACTAGCTCATGAAGTGTATCCCAGGAACACAGAAACACTAGAAATAAAAATAGGCTAGTTCTTGACATAGTCCCAAAAAGCGCGCGTTTTAAAAATAACAACTACTGTATGTGTCAAACAATATTTAATAAAATTCCGGAATCTATAAAGAATACATCTCTTACTAGATATAAGAAAGAGTTATATAACTGGCTTGCTGAGCGTTCCTTTTATTCTGTGCATGAATTCTTAGAACATGGAAACTACACGTTTGCTCGGGTGGGATTGATAGTGGCTTCTTTTACTACGCATGCTTATTGTTAACCGCTGAATAGGCGATAATTGTATTACATTTTCCATTTTCTCATATACCGTATTCAAAAGCAAATAAATTATTATGATTATTATGCTTTAAGGCTTATATACCATTTCTAGAGTTTATAATAAAGCAACTTTGTGACATTATAACAGAGACATTGTCTGATACAAAATTTCAAACTAACTGCTAAATGTATATGGTGACATTTTGTTGTTTTACTGCGGCAGTAGGAATGAAACAATTTTGTAACTTTAATGCATAATTTATATATTTTGTAACCTTATTAAAATAATAGGTGTTACGAACTATTTTGATAAGTGTATATTAACCATTTAATATTAACTATTTACCAATGTGTTTTAAAAATAAAACGCAGTTCCCACTGTAGGGGCTCAGGCCTTCTTTATGAATGGTTGAGAAGGACGGGCTATGACCCACCACGCTGGTCCAATGCGGATTGGAGGGTATTAACGACTACAAATGCAACGGGACCAACAGCTTAACGTGCCTCCTGAAGCACGGAGTAGTTCAACATAATTTTTTTTGGTCACCCATCCCGTGACCGACCCTTACGAAAGTTGCTTAACAACCACGATCGCATACCACGGCGGTTATTCACTACGCAGTCGCAAGTGTAATCTATGCAATTTGTAGTCTTATTTTCTCTGTCTAATCATTTATATTCTTTTATTATTATCAAAATATGTGTATAGAAGTACCGATTCATATTTGTCATTGAATTCTTAATGATATTTTACTCCTGTTAGTTTTACACATTTTGATGTGAAAAGAGAGATACAATAACTGTCTAATTTTTGATTGTGATGATGGTTTATGGATTGCCTTTTTAAGATCGCAGTCGCTTTTGGATTGGATAATGATGTTGATGATTAAGAATCATAATAAAAACTCAGTAAAGCCCATCGTAGAGATTGCAGTCAGCACCCAACTATTTGGTGTAGTAAACATTTCTAAATAGCGTTCAAGCATTTATTGTTTTGCTTAGACCATTCCAATTAACGTCAAAATTATTTCGTTCATTAATTATCTTTTAAGGAAGCTTCGCGATCGCCTTCGCCTTAGTTGTAGCGTTATCTTTCAATGTCAAATTGATATGTATTGTGATGAATTTTAAAGTTAGGTCCTTCGTATTAAGAAGCTAAATTTGCGTTCCATAACTTTTAGGTTATCAGTTGAAAAAATTCTGGAAGTATGTCCGCCAGTTATGGGTCACCGAACGAGGACGTCAGGTAAAGATTTTCATTTGAAAGTTTTCTTACACAAACAAATGAAGTATTAGATTTATGAGCGTATTTATCTTTTTAGTTTAGTATTTGTTTTTTTTTTATTGTGAATGTTTGTAAAATGGTTACAAAAGTCAACTGAATAGATATCAACAACATTATAAAAAATTGACAATATACCTAAGCGCGCGTTAATTAATATATATTTATAACAACCAACTGATTCGATTGTTAAAAAATTTACCTCTATCATAGTAATTAATTGTGATTCAGTAAGTAATTTGAATAGAATTAGCCATACCTTATTAACGAATAACCTTACCTGAACCTACGATAGTTCGTAAATCAACGAGAAACATTATAAACTCATGTTTACCAATTTAAGTTGACATCAAAAATGCAATTTTTTTTTGCAAGCAGACGTTACACAGCAACGTTGGTTTACTTATTTCTTTCAACTGTCACGGAAGCAATTTACTTTTTTTCTTTTATAAACAGTGAATATTCCAAAAATACATCTGACGAGCTAATTCCTCAAACTTTGGGCAAACGTAAATAAAAGATAGGGTAAAAACTCGCGGATAATGTGGTTTTAAATTGGTGATAGAATGTTTTAAATTCAGTAATACTCGTACATTATGATTCATTTTCAGCATTGGCAACCATTATTGTTAAAGTTCAGCAATTTACATACAATTTCGTGATTTATACTTATTTATTTGTTTATTTTATTATACGAGTATTTGGGAAACAAACAAATATATATTATAAATACAAATGAAACATTTCAAAATAACACATTAATCAGTCAATAATTAATAGTACAATAAACATGTCATTTTTCACATTAAATTATTTGATTGAATTAATTTTCATCGGTTCCTAATAAAAAGAAGCTGTAATGTCAACTGTTAATATCTAAGTTACACAATTGTCAATATTCAAATTACACCAATTAGTCTTCATTAAGTTTCTTTAGAGAAGGAATTGTACAATTAAAAATGTCAATGGGATTAAATTTCATGACATATTCTTCAACAAGATCTATAAAAAAAAAAAAAACAAAACACATCAAAATCTTTATCACGGACTAGCTTTCCGCCTGAAATATACATACCAGCCTGCCACTTTAATCACTCTTTATAGGTATATTAATTTAAAAAAACCTCATTAAAATCCGGTGTTCAGCTTAAATGATCCCAGCATACAGACAGTGGGAAGGGTCTTTGTTATGGGCGTTCATAGAAGCCGCCAAAGAGATGCAATTGATTACTTTCCTTTAAATAATGTAAGGATGCAAAGTTAATATTATGGGAATGTTATTTTCTAATTAAAACAAACTATCTCTAGCGATACAGTTCTCGTTTAAAAAATACTGTATGAACAAAGAATAATACTCGCTGAATGTTGCAGAATAAAAGTAATGTCAACATGTGACGGATGAAGTGAGTCCGTGTGAGCTAAAACTGTGTCTACATTTTTTTCTGATTTTCCCAGTGTTATTAATGACTCAGATATACTTCGCAATAACATTGGAGACACAAATATCTTTGTATAGTAGTAATAAGACATAAGTCATTTTTATACAAAGGTAGATCTATTTTTAGAGATAGTTAATTTGGTTACTAATAATTTTATCACGTAAATTGAAATTAGGATATTCTGTTATTTTTTCAATAAAATAAAAGGAAAAAGTAAAATATTGAATGTTAATTTGTGCTGATATAATCCTTGATATCAGAATTGATTTCAACAAATTACTAGCGCAACGTTGTGAACTGCCACATACACTGTAGCGCTCAGACTACATTTTAAATATAATAATATTTTGAATATTCCTTGTTTCTCAATCTTGTTATTTTTATTTACACCCATTATTTATTCATTAAATCTATGTGAATTTGTGGAAAATATCTGTATCTTATAGTTTTAGACTTTCCCATACTGATCTTGCTAAACATTGCATTTACCTGTATTTGTCAATTAACACATTTTCCTCATATACACTCACACACACATACAGTCACTCGCACTCGTATCAAATAGTAAGCTTAATATTGTTTTTCTTACTGAATTAATAATACTATCGTCTCTTTCTTTCCATGTTTTGTCATAACATTTGTAAGTATATTCCTATATAACGACTGGAAGAGGGATGGCCTCCCGATACAGGTATTATATGTACTTAAAAGGAGGCACACCATGATGTTCTTTATTGTAAATTGTGGAGAGATAATAAAAGTACTATATTATTATTTATTGTATAATATGATTTATATACAAGACCTCTTTTCTCTAATAGAGTAACCATAATGATAATAATTTTTGATGTCTTGCGATAATTTAAACGGTTCTGCACCAAGTCAATTGTTATTTTGTTTAGCTACCGGTTCTTCTACATCAGACGCCGTACGTGAGACGTTGTGACCTCATGACGGCCATGTTTGGTCACCATCTTAGGAACTGCTACCTCTTCGTTGACACCGAGCAGGCATTTCTGAGGCAACTGGCTAGTGTATTGGATTACACTGTGTTCTTTCCAGGTACGTAAAGTGGTAGTTAATGCCCTTCTTTTGATTGGAGTGTAAATTAGAAAGCACTGAGGAAAAGATTTATATATTTTTTTTATTATAGTTCTAACCAAACGTAACTAAAACGTTTTACTATCTATATTTTACTATCTTGTTGTTTTACTATCTATGTTTTCAGTCAATCGTATTAAAGTCTATTAAGGTTTAAAGACGACTTTAATCTCTAATGAATGTTCTAAAGGAGAATGGGCAATTTACTATGAGAGTTCGGCTATTTTTGCGTAACCGTGCACATTGTTGAAACCAACGGTAAACGATAGAGAATTATTTCTAGAAAGAGTAGCAAAAAAACCATTTTAAAATTATGCCGGAGTTAGAGAATATTTGAATATTTAACAGAGATTTTGAGGTTATGTCTTTATAATATCTATGTATATAAGAGCAATAAAATGAATAATATATTTCAAACAATCGTTGACTTACGGATATTTCACTGCTAAAAAGTACCTATCTTATAAAAAGGAAAGATTGGATTTTTTTATTGTAAAGGATAAACTCAAAAACGTCTGGGCCGATCAAAAAAAGTCTTTGACTGATATAATACCCGGCCAACATTAGCAGAGTTAAAATACTTTATTTTGTAAAAGAAGCGGTAGGAAGTTCGCATGTCAAGTCGATTAATAACTTGAAACTAAGTAGGTAGTCGTAGTTATATTGTAGCAGGTAGGTATAGAAAATATTATAACGAATGTCACTAGCGATCTTAAGATATTATGGGTATTTATCTAATGGAATCTTGTTATATTTATGTATAACGCCGCTTAAACACGCATGTTTCTTCCTCCGTGAAAACTCACGGTTAATTCGCAATTATTAATAACCAAAACCAAGAAGCAAGTATCTAAAATAAAAATTAAACAAACGTATTTATGTACCGGTTTATTGATCATCATTATACAATAATTGAGCATATTTATATATCATATTTTATAATCATAGCATATCGGAATCTTATCCTTATGCCCAAACGAATAAACGAAGCTTATTCTTTGGGATGGTTCAGTCTGTACGCGTCATATTAAGATGTGCCACCCGGCCGATTGCATTAATTTGCCTCCTATCATTTCCTATGAAAATATACTCCTTTGTATATGCTCAAAAGAAAAACCGAAGGAAGTCTTATCTTAGATAGTAATTAAACAATTGATTTTTTTCGATACGTAGATTAATCCTTTAGTTTTCTATAATAGATCTGATCGCCTTATCGAGTCTATTGTTGCATGGTTGACATTTATCCAAGGCCATATCATGAGTCTAAATTAGTCAGTTTAGCGAGTGTTTTAATACGATTAATTTAAAGGCCGCATAATTTTAAAATAGTATTTATATAGAATAGATTACAATTAAAGAGAAGATTTTTGATAAATAAAAGCATAGTGCGCAATTTGAGTAATTTTAGCCGACTTCTGCCCATTCTCCTTTGAAAATTTATATCTGTAATGTAGCTTTAAGCTATTAATAATTTTAATGGTCGTTATAAAATCTAAAAATAGATTATTAACAAAAAAATGGTCATAAATATTCCGTCTTATTTACTCAGTGCCTCATTTGGAACTGAAATATGATATAACCAAGAGTCGAGATCTGATAATGTTGAAAATTTTAAATATATTTTAATGATCCGTACTAAGGCTGAGTGATGGTGAGAACAGATACAGGAATGTCATTCTTTAAATACAAATTATCCCCACTCTTTTCAGGGTAAAATTTGAAAATTATAAAAAACTTTAATAGCCATAAAACTATATCATGTAACATATAAAATGAAAAGAAATTGTATGATTGTGAAAATCTCTTTATATTTCTATTTATATTTTTGATACACAGAGTTTTGAAAGTATTTATGACAGAAATATTGACGATAATCGACTTTATATAATATTTTCTTCTTTCCCTATTTAATTTTGTATTGTTGAATATTTATATTGAGTACAAAAATATTCCGGATTTGAAGGTTTCTTCTGAGAAATGTTTTATTTGTAGAAACAAAGGCGATACTTTGATTTTTAATAAAATATTATTCATATTTCCAAAGAGAGTTTCTCGTGTACCTATAATTGGAACTAGATAAATATGGAAATGTAAAAATATATATACTTATATATTAAGCATATATATAAAAAAATTAAGTGTAGTAACTTCTTTCTTAAAAGATTGATTATGAAACGTGATGGTTAATTTAACGTGAAACTTGATTTAACTAGGGTACTTAACCGCTAGAATTATATTTTGGATGTGCTTGTATAGTTGTAAGGCTATATTAATCAAATAGGAGCAACGAGTAATATTATAAGTCCAGTTTTGTACGTATAAACTTTTCTCTTGAATCACTGGAAACCGCTTTAAAATTCATTGTGAAGTTTACAAGATCTCAGAATACAAACAGCAGGAAGCAACTTTGATTTATATTATGTATAGATGAAAATTAAGATCCTATGTTACAGGTAATTATATTGTGGTGGCTGGTGATTGCGACGCACGCATGCTCTGGGTGGCTTCTGGCACCGTCTCCGTGGTGTCAGTCAGACCGGACCTGACTGAGACCACACATGAGACTCTTGTCACTGGCGACGTCTTCGGAATTCTGCAGGGTATGAACAGAGGAATTCCACACTGTTTTTCTTATAGGGCGGAGAGTAAGGTTAGTTTTAATAATAAATTAATCAATTTTAGTGGTGGCAATTCTGCGTCACTTTCTTAATTAAACTAAAAATAACTATTTAGATATAAATTTAAATTTAAATTTTATTATTTTAGTTTGGGTTTCATCATCATCAGCTCTTTTACGTCCCCACTGCAGGGTCTCAGGCCTTCCTTATGGATGGTTAAGGAGAATAAGCCATAATATTCCACTGGCCCAATAAGGATTGGAGGGTCATATCCACTGCAATTGCAGCCGGGATCAACGGCTTAACGTGCCTTCCGAAGCACAGCGCAGATTGAGATATTAATTCTTTGGTTATCCATCTTTGGACCCTTGCGAAAGTTGCATATTAACAGAGATCGCGGATCTTTGATTTTGGTCTCGGCTGCATGTAAAGTCATTAACACCCATAAATCTGCACTGATCAGGTGATGGTTTATGGAGTGGCCTATTCTTTCTATCCGATTCAATACGAGTACATCTATACGGAAGGCATGTGTGCAAGCAGTGGGGATATGACATCCTATTAATATTATAAATGTGAGTGTCTTTGTTTGGATGTTTGTCGGTCAATCACGCCGAAACTAATGAACGGATTTTGATGAAATTTAGTATACAGATAGGGTATTAGCTGACTTAGATAATAGGATTTATGAACTCGTGCATCATAATGCACGAGTTCATAAACCAAAGCGTTTAAGAGCATATTAGACTTATGCCACATTAAAAGAAAGCTCATTTTGCTTTTTTTTCCTATATTGTATTTTATGACAAGCTAAGAATATAGTGCATTTGAAAAAACCTTATTACTTTCACTTAACTTTATTTTTTGTTTGTGACAATTGTAATGATTAGGTGACCATAATGTCCATTTTAATTTAGCAAAAAAATACCTATTACTATTCCAACAACTTCTAATAGAAGTTGTTGGAATCGAATTAGTATCTGATTTTAAAGCAAACTTCTTTTAGAATGTGCGTTAATTATGTTACACGTTGTATATGTAACGTGATACAGTTATATTCTACTACTATATTTAGTATATCACGAAAAATACACACACGTACTGTATTACTTATTATCTATACTTGTTTTAGGTTGCTATACTAACATTGAGTCTTGACTCGTGGTCAAATATTCTTCCTTTTTTCCCAACTGCTCAGGCGATGGTATTGGAGAGAGCTGATGGTTTATTTGCGCAACTTTAGTTTTAAAGATTAACTGTCAATTAAAATATAATAAAGGATTTTAGTAAAGTAAGAAACTATTCAATTTAAATAAGCACTATTTTTATATAAATACATTTAAATTATATTTTAAAATGCTACCCAAATGTCTAATGCCATGGGGGACAACAATTGTACCTTTAGCAAAAGGTCTTTCTAAATTATAATTTAACCTTTTGACTTTATATTTCTAGTGTAAAGAAATAAACTATCGTAAAAACTTTTCCAATCTTAATAAAATTATATACTACGAGTATCAAATTATGTATGTATAATCTCTTTGTAGCTCAGTAGCGTAGTTGATAGGCGCCGCGGTCCGCGTTCTTTGTTATTAGGCAATTTTCGCAAAAGTCGCGATGGGAGATCAAAGAAAAATATTGCCTCGAGCTACTCCGAAAGCACGTTCGTTGGTCCCGGCTGCATTTGCAGTCGTTAAAACTAGCGTGGAGGGTCATGCCCCAACCTCCTTAGCCATTCATAAGGAAGGTCTGAGCCCCTGCAGTGGGCACGTAAAAAGGCTGATGATAATGAATCCCTTTGTTAAATAAAAATTAGGAAAAATAACTTTCGGGGTTGTTTTTTGCCGATTCTTCGCGGAATAAAGTCTCCTGTCATAGATTTGCGATCAAATAACGTAGTTTTTTTTTAAATATAAAACAAAGTTAAGGCTGCAAAAGACTGAATTGAATTTGGTGATTTTGATTGCTGTCGTTTGAAATATTCGGAAATAAATTTCAATCAGCTTAATAGTTACGGGATACAGGTCGAATCAATCAATAGCTCTTTCCTCTAGATTGGGAGGCACTTTAAGCCGCTTATGACAGTTTCGATATTCTAGCCATCGAATCACTGTGATGAGTGCCATTCGGATGGAATAGAATTAGATTCTATATAAATTGGACTGTTATATTACAAATTGAATTTAATTCCAATTAATCAGAAATGTTAATGAGTTCGAGAAGACTAGTTTTAAGAAAAAAATGGTTGAATGGGTTCGATTCTGGTATTGAAAAATATTTTGATGCTAGTGGTTATGGTACAATTGTTTTTTCTAACTCATCACCGCCTATGTAATAATATCGCCAACTACTGATGCAGAGGCCTTCACTATGGTTTGAATTGAATAGGGAGTAGCTCGGTGATGTACTGGGTAAGCGCCGCGATCGTTGTAAGAAAGCAACTTTCACGGAGGTCAGTCACGGGATGGGTGACCAAAAAATATTAGCTCGAGCTACTCCGTGCTTTGGAAGGCACGTTAAGCCGTTAGTCCCGGCTGCATTTACAGTCGTTAATACTCTCCATTCCACATTGGGCCAGCGTGGAGCGGTCATGGCCCATTCTCTTAACTATCCTTAAGGAAGGCTTGAGCCCCGGCAGTGTGGACAAAAAAGGTCTAACTATGATGATATCGATGAATAGCGAAAATGCGCCATGACCTACCACAAGGGTCCTGTGTCCTGTGTCCACCTGTGTCCTGTGTATAATATAGAGTATATAATCTGGGACAACGATCAGTCTAAATTAATCGAGCACTTACGTTCGACTTTGGGTACAGACAACTTAATTTAGGGTTTAAAATTAGGGTACTAAATTAGACTTCTTACTTCGAATATTGCTTTGCCATTCAAGTGACTAATATTCATTTCATTATTTGGCTCGCGTTCTATTGAAATAACAAATACATCGTGTGCTTAAATCAGTGACGAATAAAATCGTCGAGTCATTTTATTACAAGAGGAGGCATAAAGACACAAAAGACTGTTCTTCTCTATTTTAAAGCGAGTGCAATGAGATAGACAGGGACAGAGAATAACAAATTGCACGGCAAAACAGTTTTTAATCAATAAATCGCAAACTGTTAATGATTGTAAAAGTACTGCATCAATTTCTTCATCTGCAAAATGACCATATTTATGTTTTAAAAACATATTTATGTTTTTCCTATGATAAAAGTTAAAACAGGAATTGGCTAAATAGTAAATTGTGATGGTAACTTTTGATTGTTTTCTGTGGACAAAATATATAAATTAACTTTTTTACAGTGACAGATTCCTCTCATTTTGAATAACAGCTATTTGGACGTTTTTTATTTACACAAACAGCTGAAAGATAGTGAATTTGGTTGTACGCACTTTCTTAATTACTAAGTGTAAACATGGTTTTTTTGAGTAAGTTATTGTACAGTAACGCCCGAATAGGAATAAATAAATTACACTTAATAAGTTACACTTTGTTTATTGAAAAGTAAATAAAACAGCCACAGCGTGGGTAGATACGATTCAAATATTTCTGCTGGAGGTCAACGTGGACTGTGCCTTCTAATAAAATGGAATTTATTTAAGAACGACTAAAGATAAAGTGGTTTATGTAAATAAATAAATTACTACCAGTACGAATTAACACGACAACTCGAAACCTATTCTATTTCACCGAAAACGAAATTTCTTATTTGTCTATTTGTTATTTCAAGACGTTCTAACTAACGTATAGGTAAATATGTAATTTAACCGTGAACGGTGTTTATAATTTTGCATTACGGAAAAACTTATACCGTGAACAGCTATAATGTGTAAACAAAGTTCACTTTCCCGTAACTCAATGGCCGAAACCGAGCCATAATCTTGTGATGGTCAAAACCAGGTCATCTGTCTTATCGCGTACAAGATAAAGCGAGTGACGCACTATATAATATCAAGCGTATGATATTAATTTTGGCTTGCTATACACGACGGTGTAATCACGACAACGAGACAAAGGCGAGACGTGTGCTGGAATTCTACTATTGCAAACTGTACCATGGATGTATGTTACGTTAAGTTTGTTTAAAGGAAATAAAGATAATGTAGGGAAGAAAAAGCTTATATTTTTCTTATGGTTTTGGTATATGTTTTTCAGAATTTTGGGTTTAGTGTTTATGAAATCGCATAAACTTCTCACGTTAACGACAAGGATAAATAATTTGCTGGCTGATCAAAATGGAATCTTTACAAATAAGTATTATTTCGTAACTTAAGTTTCAGTTATTTCTCTTTACCTTTAATATAAAATTGGCTTTTATTTACACTGATTTTCGTAGAAAGCGTATTCCTGTACCGTCTAATTAATATTGCTTTTTGATGAATTGTTACATTATATTAATAATACAGCAAACTTATTATCAAATAATATATATTCACCAATTTCAAAAACATAGAGATTATTTAAATAGATAATTAAAGAGGCGCCACATACAAAATTTGTACCTTGCCTCAGCAATCCCCTTTAGCTTTGAGTAGCAAAACAATTACTAAAAAGGATCGATCTTTTATTTATTCAACTTTTACTAGAAATGTTAGTTCATTCAAAAGTTGCCATTTGAAAACAGAGAGGATTTTATTTTGTAATGATTCTGAAAACGCCGAGAAAAATACTTTTTTTATTTATTTAACAACCGTGGGTGTAATTTGGTGCGATTTGTTACCACGGGGAGCCTGTTTTTCTGTCAAAAATAAATCTTGAAGGCCATTCCAGATCCTCCAAACAGTTTGTTTTTACAAAAAATATATATTAATAATAAAATACAGAAAAAGAGAAGTTTAAAATTAATAAAGACTTCAAGAAAGTGATTACTACGCCAGATCAGTGACATCTAATTGAGATCTCTGTGTCTGACGAACGTTTGATCAATGTGGAGTCGAGAATACGATTGAATTACTATCCTTTGTGGGCACAATGCTCTACAAGTACAAGCATTTTTACCGCGAACATGCAAAGACTGAGAACCAAAGTATTTTTTTGTTGAAGCAACCGTTTTATAGTATATAAGCATAATTATCATAATTATTTTCATTACAAGTTATATAAATAATTTCAAAAGTGTACGTATTGACATGATACCTGAAGACTTATTCTAATAAAATTTCTTCCATGTTCAATATTACTAATTTGACTCCTTAACCATCGATAAGGAAAGCCTGAAACCTGCAGTAGGGACGTAAAAGGGATGATGATGTTTATGACTCCAAATCAACAACTTATCTATTATTTATGATGCAGAAGGGAGAACCTGACATTGTTTCTGATGCACAAAAAGATATTCTCGGGTATGCTTTTAACAAAAGTATAGAAATGAATTGAAATTCTCAGAATTTTCGTTGAAGCACAAATATAATAAGCCCTCAGGTGTCATATTAATTCGTACGAGTTATAACCACAAAGAGATTATAACTCGTACGAAATCTAAAACATTACTCTTAAATTATTACACTCTAAAACATTGCAATATATAAATATGAACTGAAATCAGATCCTGAGGGTATACACTAAACTATGGGTGGTAAAACTACAAAAAAATTATTAAATTTTATCAATTTTGCATTAACACAATACAGAAAATTATTCTTAATGAAAAATGCTTAAAGCTAAAAAAATGCCCCGTTACTCCGAGATAATCTCGAGAATTTATTTCACATTTTCCATTAAAGATATTTTATTTTGGAATCAAAATTTGCCAGCTATAAAAATATTTCACTATGACATTCCCTTGGGATGACAATTCTGTATTCCACGTCGACAAAACTACGAACAGTTGCTAGTATTAATGAAATAATACGTATTGATGGCTCTTATTTCTCATTGAAATTTATTTATTTTTGTATCAAACTTTAGCAAGAGTAACTTAGCTCTCCAATCACTCGTTTATGATCCAAAGTTTTAATGAAAGCGTCATTTGGGCTGATCGATAAGTCGTTGATACCAACGGTAAGCAGTAAATGGTCTATTAAGAAGTTAGAATTGTTCGTTTAATTGGATTCCAAGAATTTCGAGAGCAGAAGTTTGGTAAATAAATATTATTTTCGCAGACCGTTTTGTGTTGTAGCAAATTTCTTGGTAAATCCAAATTTTGTGAACAGTTTCGAAAAATGTTTGAACAAATTAATAAATAAGTTATAACCACAATTAGCAAATCTATACTTATGTTACAAATAGGTAAAGTTTCTAAC